TTGAGGCTTTCCCCAAGCCCCGACGGCCCCACCGCGATGTGCCCCGAATTGGGACCTAGCAATGCCACCGGATCATCGGAGTGGTAAAGCGATGAAATGTAAAAGAGAGAAGACATCCAGCTACAAACTGTGAGTTGACGATCAAGAAAGAAAAAGTTTTAAGTGCACCCCCCCATTTGAATAAGCGCTTGGGCGGAGGGCGGATCACTCCCCCCCGACAGAAAGAGACTGATTTATCTAAGAGAAGAGGGGGAGGGCGAGATATTGGAAAACGAACGTTACCTTTTGGGAGATTTGTAAAAGCGAACTGAAGGGATTGTTTCCCGAGCTGAAACTTTTGAAAAGAAAACAAAAAACAAAGATGTCGGGGCAAAAGCGAGTCCCGGACAAGCAGATGAAGAAGGCAACAGGCACTTCCGGTTCTAGTGCCCGCCCTGAAGAGCAGGCTGTCGATCAAAAAGAAAGCGAGATGCTTCGCCCTCTGCTGGACCAAATGCAAAAAATTAACCAAACGTTGCTAAGCATGGAAAGTGCCCTTAGTAACCAGCAGAAACAATTGACTGATACAGCCAAGAAGATGAAAGAAATTGCACAGAAGTGTCTGGTATCAACGGAAGATACACAAAAAATCAAGAAGAAGGTCAGCAAAATAGAAAAACATCAAGAAAGACAAGATAACAAATTATTGCTAAATTATTGATGTTACAAATGGAAAAATCTAATTTAACTCTTCGATTTCAAGGCATAAAAGAGGCGGAAAAAGAAAATCTCAGGAGTATACTGGCGAGTGCTTTGGCACCACTGACCAGTAAGGAAGCGGATAAATTAAGCGATGAGATGGATTTGGCCTACAGAGTCTACTCCAACTTTACAAAGAAGAATAACCGGCCTGCAGAAGTGGTAGTCAAGTTTACTAAGCAGCATACCAGAGATCAGATTTTGAGAGTGACATCGGCAATTCCTTTGATGATTGGAGAGCAAACTATAAGAATTCTGAAAGATGTTCCATTTGAAATTCGGATGAAGTGGAAAGCCTATAAAGGACTGACCATATTCTTGAGAAACCATCAAATCAATTACAGATGGTTGATTCCAGAAGGACTTACTTTCAAGTTTGAAGAGAAAAGAGAGAAGATTGACTCCATTTTCAAAGCTCAAGACTGTTTGAAGAGGCACGCCAGTTCAGAGGAAGAGGCAGAACTCGCAAAATGGGAAGTACTGAGCGGAGAAGAAGACAGTAGCTCGGAGAGGGAGGACATGAAATCAGAAGAAGAAGGTGCAGCTAAATGTCCATCTTATAACCTGAGAGATGTAAAAGGAAGAAACCCCAAGACTTGAAGATTTGTTCGGAGAGCGCATTAAAGGACTGTACTAACCCAAAAGGACACTACTAAAATTACTAAAAAATTTGTTTTTTACAGGTTAAGATGAAAGACGATCAGTCAAACACAGAAGAAGCTGAAGAACTTATTGCTACTAATAAAAGATTAACTTACTAACAAAGATACCACTCATGTATACCCTCCCTTTTTTCTGAAAAATTTAAAGCAATAAAATTCTCTCCTCTTTAGGAGAGTTAACTATAAAAAAAGAAGAACCCATGCTGAGTCTGCCTCAATAGGTTTTGTTCATCTATGTGCCTACTAATTCTTTCCTTAATAATGGTTTCCACCAATTTACCCGGTATCGACATCAGACTGACTGGCCTGTAATTTCCCGTAATTTCCCGTAATTACTTTGGTACCAAGCTAGTAAAAAGTGTGGAGTTAATAGATAAATATCAGTCCCTTTCATTCTGTCCTGCTATGTAGCTATAACTTCTACACATATAAATTGAAATTGTCACTATGTCACAGAGTGTGTGGGGTTATCCCTCCCTTCCTCAGTTCCCCTTTCCCAGGTATACACAGTGTAAGCATGGAGTTCCATTCATTCATTTCCTGCTGCCCCAACACATTTAATCTTTTAATGTGTGACAAACTGGATATTTCCTACTTGGGCTGGTGAAGAAGGATTAAAGTGTGCTTGCAAGGGAGCAGGTATATGAACATTCCATTCAGATAAGATAAGCAGTGTTCTGAGCTCTTCAGAGTCATGTGAACCTATAGCAAGTCAGCTTGAACAGGAAAGATGCAGCTCCTTACCTTAGAGTCATAAGGATCAGTACTGAGCCCAGTGCAATTTGCAGTTACACATTTTCACCACAGAAGAAAGAGAGGCTTGCAGAACCATCCCGAGAGGCTTACTATTGTCAGTAAAAAAGGATTAGAGAAAGACACTGAATCATATGAAATTATAGAAGTGGCAGGCCTTACTTTTGCTCTTCTGCTTCTTAACCCCTTAGGGACCAAATAGTAGGGCAGATGGGATGCAAAGAGCCGAGGAGATGGGCGACTGATGTAATCCATGCTACGGATATTGTATTCCAGCCATGGGACTCTGTCCATTAAATCCGTGTCCTCAGTTCCATTTCGATGTCCTTCATGATAAATCAGGCTCAAAATGTTCTGAGTCCATACTGTGCCTGTGCATGAAAATAATGTGTTGTTGACTTAATATCCTAAATAGATTGAACTCAGTAGTGTAAAGCAAGCACAAAATAAACTAGCCTCTGCCCCAGTGAGCTTACCGTCTAAATGACCACAAAGGAAGAAACAAGAGGGCCAAAAACAGGCAAGGAAAAGGTAAGGGGAACAAGAAACAACTGTAGTTGTATGAGTTTAGGTTTCCATTCAGTGGGAGCTGAGACTAAACTAAGGGTTTTCATGGAAAGAGGATTATCAACATGAGCTGTGAAATAATACAAATTAATTTCAGCCAAATGTTGAACTTTTGACTGAGCATTTTAAGTAATAAATAGATATAGGTTCTGTGGTTTAAACTGAGAGAGGGGGGCAATACCTGTTTTCCTGACCTAAAAAGGCTTCCTCATTTATTGTTAGACCTATTAAGGGAATCCTACTGTTAACATGGAGCTGCGGTGGCTCAAGTGGTTAAGACGCTGCACTGCAGGCTGTGGAAGGTCGGTAGTTCAGCAGTTCAAGACCCGGGTGCCGCATGATGGAGTGAGTTCCCATCTCTAGTTCCAGCTCCTGCCAACCTAGCAGTTCGAAAGCAAGAAATAAATAGGTACCACTTTGGTGGGAAGGTAACAGCGTTCCGTGCGCCTTGGTGTTTAGTCATGCCGGCCACATGACCACGGAAACTTCTTCGGACAGCGCTGGCTCTTCGGCTTTGAAACGGAGATGAGCCCCGCAACCCTAAAGTCGGATTCAACTGGCTTTTGAGCAAGGGAACCTTTACCTTTACCTTTACTGTTAACATATTGGCAACCTCTATGTTTTCCCAGATGGCACACACAACAGCTTTGGGGAGCAATTTTAGGCCGGATGTGGGGAATATGATTAACTCTTTCCTCCAAGATGTCCCCCCCCCATCAGAATAGGGGCGCCTTCTAGCTATTTACCACAAAGTTGCTCAGGAGCTCCATTCATGAATGTCCTGACATCTTGTCTAATTTGGAAAACAAATCAATCAAGGTAGTTGTAACAGATCACTTTGTAGTTTGACACTGGGATACAAATGATGAGGTAAAATAAGACTGAGTAAAGAACAGATATAGCAGCTTCTCGTCATGTTGCATAGATCTCCCGTGCCTACGAAATGCTGACTCGTTGAATAAATTATATACAGTATTGGCACTGTAAATATTCAGTGGCATTACAGGAGACATTCCCAAAGGGAGTCTAAATACAAGTCAAGTCATTCCTCACAAAAATATATATAGTCTTACCTGATTTGGGATAGGTGACTAAAAATACATCACTGTCTCTGATTTCAAAGTCTTCCAGCGAATCTATGTATTCTGCCGTAACCAGCTGGGGTTGGAAATAAAATCCTTTGTGTTTGAAAAGGTACTCCGAAGGTGACTGCATTGCTAACACTGCTGGCATAAGAATACAAGGATTCAGATCAGTTCCTTGTGTTATTTTACACTGGAATAAGTTCTTCCATCTCAAGAGCCTCCCTCTAGATTAAGGGGCTGCTTTGTTGGAGGGGAATCCACTTGCATTCCAGGACAGCTGCTTGGGCTGGTGAAAGTCTTCAAATTTTGTTTGGTAGAGTGGTAGGATATGTGCAATTTTATGTACAAATCAGTTTCATATGATGTTTATGGATGCCAGCCTTCCTTCGAAAACATTGTATAAATTCTGATCTAAGGTGTGACAGGGCTCTTTTCAGGTACAAAAACAAACATTTCTAATTCACCTCAAAGGTTTAATATAATTCATCATGCAGTAGAAATGCCTGACAAGGAAAGAAGATGGGATTAACAAGCTTTTCAGTTGCATGGAATCCTGCTTGTGGCAGTGGCCTTTGTTAGTCTGTGGTCATGTTCAGACGAGTCTTTACGTCCAACCCAGGCACGAATTCCTGGTGGATTTAAAGGGGACGATCTAACAGTGATATCTGGGAAAGGTGCTGCTTCCGTGATCAGCTCGTTTTGCCCCGCCAGGGAGCCGTACTTAAAAAAGACCGCTGTAGGGTTGCCAGGTCTGGGTTGGAAGATACCTGGAGACTTTGGGGGTGGAGCCAGGAGAGGATGGAGTTTGGGGAGGGGAGGGGCCTCAGTATGGTACAATGCCATTGAGTCCATCCTTCAAAGCAGCCATATTCTCCAGGGAAGCTGATCTCTGTCAGCTGGAGATCAGTTGTAAAAGCGGGAGATCTCCAGGGCCCACCTGGAGGCTGGCAAGTCCGGTGCTGTTGCTTGCCAACAGGCAAATGACGGACTTTCCTCTGTCTTTTCATTCCAGTGCGCTAGCAGCCTGTTGAAATGGTCTGCTCCAGACCATCCCGAATGGTCACCATTTTTAAAAAATCTCCAAGTGATATGCGCATAAATGCATAAACACACAATAGCCGTAGAGCTCCACTCAAGCATTCCGGTCAATTTCATGTTAATCAATGGCCCATTAATTAATGAACCTCGTTAACTGAAATTGGATCTCAAGGGAGGACAACGTAGCTCTTTCCCTATGCAAAGTAGTCCCTCCACTGACCCAGATCTCCAGGGCAGGGGGGATGGTCGGGACTCGTTTCATCCAGCCCTGGCCATCTGCATCAGAACAGAAAGTGAAAGAAGTTGGGTATGCTTGGACTGTCTTGTTGGTCACTCCATGGGGAGAGATAGCGGGTGTGGGGATTTCGGCTACATGTCCCTCAGGCGGTGCTTTAACCACGCGATTCTGTGCATGCATGGAAAACCAAGCACACAGTGAAGCACATATGCACATGCACAATGGAATTAAAACAAAAACCAAAACCTGACTGCATGGCTCCTTCAGGGGGATGCTGTCTAGACAATCCTCAGTGGAGTCAGTGTGCGGTAAGACAATTCATGGGGGGGAGCTGTCTGATCGTGCAACACCGGATAAAAAAGATCGGGATTGTAATGTATCCATCTCAGACCATGTGCACGGCCATTTCGCCATGCAGTCAAGCGAAGCGGCCAAGGTTCGCCCTGGAGAACAATGGGACCAACAGATCCTAGCCGGCACCTATCGACAGGCTAGGCTCCTGGCCGAGAACCTATGGAATTCTCGGCCACTATAAATAGCCAACCACTTGTGTGTGGGTGTGTTTGGGGAGCAGGGTTTGAGCACATATAAACCAGCCTGCGAGCTCGGTGCTCTCATCTTGTTCTGAGCTAAGGAGGAAACTGGTTAGCCAGGACGACCTGACCCTAGACAAGGGTCAGACCTGACCCTACAAGAAGGTGTACCAAGACCGCCGAGTGCGGGTGGTCCATCGCACACAAGCAATGCTCGAGTCAGACAACTCTGAGACTGAGGAAGTGCTCCAGGTCCACCGCCGTCCCACCCAGCAGCATCGCCCAGGGGGAGCCCCATCGGCCAAAGCCCCCTCTGCCTCATCCCAGTGCGCTAGCTGTGGGGAAGCACACGAGAGCCGGGCTTGCCACTTCAGGGATGCCGTCTGCTGCTCCTGCAACAAGAAAGGCCGTCTGGCCTGGGTCTGCCAGACCTGACGAAAGACTCAGAAGACTTCAGCCCACCAGACAGCGGCAGATCAACCCACCGACCTCCATACCCTCTCTGCCCACCACCAGCAGCACCAGGTATGTAACTTGCTCCCCGATAGCCCAAATAAGGTGCACGTGACGGTGCTTATAGAGGGGGTCCCCCTGCAGCATGGAACTAGACACTGGCTCTAACTACTCCATAATTTTGGAGGAAACGCTGCGCTCGCTCTGTCCACGGGGGGGGGGGGCCTCCTCTGCAGAAGCCACAGGGGTTTAAGTTACGGGACTTTAACAAGAACCCTGTGGCGGTGCGGGGCTGGGGCAAGTTTACGGTGCAGTTTCAGGACTTCCATGGAAAATTGGAATTGCTGGTGGTGGTGGGGAGGCTCTCCAGTCTGCTGGGACTTTCTTGGTTCGGGCCCCTGGGATTGACGATTGGGGGAATTAATCAGCTCAGGGCTGAGAATTTCATGGCTGTGTGCAATGAGTTCCCCAGGGTCTTCTATGGCACACTCGGCTGCTACACAGGAGCCCCCATTTCCCTTGACCTCGACCCGGCTATCCACCCCATCCGGGTTAAGGCCAGACACACACCCCATTGCGATGAGGCCAAAGATCAAGGCGGAGCTTGATCGCTTGGTAGTTCAGGGGGTATTAGAGCACGTTGCTTCCGCACGGTGGGAGACTCTGATTGTCACCCCGGTCAAGCCAAATGGCGATGTGCGGATTTGTGCAAACTATCCAGTACCGGTGGTCAGCCACGTGTTAGCCGCACTGGCGGGGGCTCAGATTTTTGGCAAGCTGGACTTGGCCCAGGTCTACCAGCAACTGCCGGTGGATGCTGCCACAGCAGAAGCCCAAATGATTGCCACGCACAAGGGGGCTTTCAAAGTACATAGGCTCCAGTTTGGGATGTCGGTCGCACCGGGGAGTTTTCAATAGTTCGTTGAAAGGTATTCCAGGAGTGCGGCCATTTCTAGATGACATGCTCATTTCTGCCCCGGATGCCTCGACCTTCACCAACCGACTGTGGGCAGTGCTCCAGCATTTCGACACAGCTGGCCTGAAGGTCAAGAGAGAGAAATGCTTGCTCGGGGTTCCCAAGGTGGAGTACTTGGGGTTCGCCGTGGATGTTCAGGGTATTCACCCCATGGAAGAAAAAACAACGGCTATCTCACAGGCGCCCCCACCTACGTCCAAGGCTGAATTACAGGCTTTCTTAGGCCTGTTAAATTTTTACCACTCCTTTCTCCCCCTAAAGGCCGTGGCGGTGGAACCTCTGCACCGCCTGCTGGATAAAAATGCTCCGTGGGTCTGGGGCCCGGAGCACGCCGCCGCTTTCCAGGCGGTAAAGGACCTTCTTGTCTCCAACTTGGTCCTCTCCCATTTCAATGAGGCCCTTCCCGTGGTCCTGCCCTCTCTGTACGGGGGTCGGGGCGGTCTTGGGCCACCAGTTACTGAACAGCTGGGAGGTTCCGGTTGCTTATTACTCTCGCACCTTGTCATCTGCCGAGCACAACTATGCGCAGATTGACGAGGAGGCGCTGGCTATTGTGGCGGGGGTGAAAAAAATTCACCATTACTTGTAAGGTCGGCCGTTCATGATCCTCACGGACCATAAACCGCTTCTCGGCCTCCTGGCTCCAGACCCCCAACCCCCCTAGATGACGTCTCCCCGGGTGCTCCGGTGGTCTGTTTTCTTGGCAGGATACTCATATGCGCTCGTCCATCGGCCAGGGAAAGCGATGGGACATGCAGATGCTTTGAGCCGTCTCCCGCTGCCGTCTCAGGATCCGGACCTGGCTCCTGCTCATCAGGTCGTGCTTTTAGAGGCTCTTCCCGATCAACCGGTGCACGTTTGGGAAATGGCGCACCGCACTGCAAAAGATCCGATCCGTTGCCGTGTCTTGGACTGGGTGAGAAGGGGGTAAATAGCCAATCACTTGTGTGTGGGTGTGTTTGGGGAGCGGAGTTTGAGCACATATAAACCAGCCTGCGAACTGGGTACTCTTGTCTTGTTCTGAGCTGAAATAAAGTATGAGAGCTGAAATCACTAGTAAGTCTCAGTACTTTTCAGGGATCAAATTTGAGCCGGGCCAATGCCCTTCTGAACACACTCTCAAACACCCAAAACCCAAAGGAGTTTTGTGCACTAATAGATTCTTTGTAGCACAAGTTTCAGTGGGTAGGACCCACTTAAATCAGATCCATGAAGTTATACCTCAGATATATACATAGGCAAGAATTATGGGTGGGGAATTGTGAAGAGGATAAAAAGCCCATGAAATGCATGTGTTCTTGTGACTTTTTAATGTAACACTGCAAACTATACACTCTAAGCCCAGTGACCATTATCCAAACTTGTAACTCTTGAAAACTATGTGGTATGTTAAACATTCAAACACTTATAGTGGCTAAGAAAAGTGAGAACTCTGTTTAACCTCTTGGTGATACAATCCAGCCTACTAATATGTTTTAAATCAGCAGTTCCTCTTTGGAATAATGATAACTTTCAGGTCAAGAATAGACTGTCCTGTAAGAAAGATCTGGAACTCAGTCTTTGTGTAATGATGATCGATAATTGTATGTAATGTAATAATATTTCCCTGTTGCTTAGAGGTCTTATTGATGTGCGGAATACAAATGATGGTGAAAAGGACGGAGTATGAAAATTGGTAATTAAGCTCTCATTATAAGAGTAAATGAATTTTCTGGGTTGATATAAAATATTATGATTTAATGTTATATAGGATTATTGTGTTGGATATGATATTACTATAATATTATTATTATGATTTAGAGGGTTTAAGATTATTGCATTATAATTTGGTTAGGGATCTTATGTCTAGGAGCAGAAGGAGGATTGTAAAGAACAGGTATAGTGATTAAAACTAAAATTTGCA